GGAGGCTGATGTCTAGAGCTTTGTGACTAGTTGGGAAACCTAGATGGACATCCAAAGATTCCCTTCGGAAAATATGGTTTCTTAGCTTTATTTTTATCTAGCTCTGAATTTGTATATATTAGTTATAGCTATATTCAGTGTAACTGAAAAAGCACCTCTGCAACTAAATATCAAAATATTTCTAGTATATTCTCTGCCTTTCTGTATTTTAGAAATGGCTTTCCCAGCAGTAGTGGCAGTCATTGGGTATTTGCTCCACAGGACCTCCTTCTTAACTGTGTCCACATAGTATATATATCAGCTTATTTTATTACTTTTAATGGATTGATAGGTCGAAAAGGGTATTGGTTTTAAGGAGTGCTTTAGCACTTAAAAATAATATATGGAATATCAATTCTAATTCTTCTAGGATACCCAGTCTGTTGATTAACCACATCTAATATGTGTTCTACTTTATATACCAATTAATTTAGTGCCTTAATCAGTGATAGGATCAGAGCTGTAGTAATAAATCATACAATATTTTTTCTGCTCTTGTTTTATCTTTTCTTTCCTTACCTGTAGAATTAATGTCATGTTTGCAAAGGATTCTGTTATCTCCTATAGTAGTGACTCCAAGCTCTAAACTCAGTTTTTCTAATAAATAAACTGTTTATACAAAGATAGTTTTAAGAGTTTGTCCTCCACAGCATAGGAGCAAAGAGGATAGACATGTAAAGAAATAGTTTACAGTTCAGCTGATGAAGACACACTAGAAAAAGCTGTGAGAGGTACCAAGGTAGCTCCGAGGTAGGAGATCCCTGTGTCTCTGTGGAAAGACAGCTGCAATCAAGGAGGACTTCACAGAGCAGCTGAGTCTTCAAAGAGGAAAAGGAACTTGTCAGAACAATAGAGGGAAACATTTCAGGTTAAGAAAAGATAAAAGCATAAAAAGTAACAGTAATTTTGGAAACCATGAATAACATTGCTCTTGAAGCTTGGTATGTTGTTAAAAGGTACTGTTAGGAGGTAGAGAATAGAGTCTATTGTGACTTTGTATATTTCTACTGTATTTTTAAATGTTGTTTTATTTCTCTTTGTTTTGTTCATGTCTGGTGAATCAATTTGTGAATAAAACTTTGAGATGTTTGTATGCCTTTATCTGGTAACATCTAGTATTTCCCAAATAGTTTGTTGAAGTTTTAGATAATTAGAAGTATTTCTTAAAGAAGTAAATATCCAGCTAAAGATTGAGCTTAATTTAAACTGCCAATTGATGAAATGTTTTTTATGTTTTTATAAAGATGATGCCTTTTATCTAGTTGTTCTAAGCAGTGAATTTTAACTAAGTATATTCATTTTTCAGCAGACCTTGACTTACAAAACACATGTGAGGAAGAGCAAGAAAGACTCGATGGAAGTGAAAATAACCACTCACAGGTATGTAAAAATGTAAATTTAAATTTCTGGTTTATATTGTTTTCTGTGCTTTAATAACACAGTTATTCAAATTCAAAAGAAATTGCCTTTCAAACTAGAGTTTTAGAGTCAATAATTACTTAATAGTTTTTAATAGCATTTTATCTAGTTACAAAACTTAAAGTATTGTTAGAATCTATAATAACTTATAGTTCAACTTTATCCTTGGAATTGAGGCAAAAAAACTTCCTGAATATTGTTTACTACTTCCATTTTTATAGCTCCCTCACATGATAAAGAAGGTAATATCAAATATTAAGTCATGTGATTAAGCAGTTGAAATTGTAAATAATACAGCAGTGATGGCCACCAAGTTAGTTTCATGTAAGGAACAGTCATTCCCAGTGGTCCAAAATTTGCAGTTTCAAATTGCAAGTCATTAATGCCAATGAAAGATTTCTTCTGTCTTGTGATCTCTATGTAATCGATTTCAGAATCTACAATCATGGAGAGAATAGGTGTCATAGAGTCAACTCAGCTGCCTAGTAAGAGAATCAAACCTTCCAGGATTAGACATTTGCTGTTAGGGAACAAACAAAAATGTTCTAAATTATTTCATTTCAGGGTAGGAAATCAGTATTATTAAAAATTCTTTTATTCACTCTCACTAGTGAATGTTAGAGTATAATATAACTTGGATGCAGAGAATACATACTGAGATAGATCACTATCATAGTATATCATTTGCACTTAAACTCAGGAATTTGTTCCTCTGATTGATGTTAATTGATTTTGGCACCTAATAATTTGTAGTTTTCTTATTCTCCAGTTATTAGTCCTTTAAAAAAAAATCTTTACATGCACTGGAGGGGCTCACTATTTCAGGTATGTGAGGTGAAATATTTTTTAGTGAGGAAATCTTTGTAATGTTAAAAATCTAATCTCCTCTAATTCTTGGTAGATTTGACATGTGTGAATTGTTTAGTTCAAACAAACAGTGACAAAGTTAGGTTTCTGAGTTCCTGTTTTTCTCCTATTTCAAGTCTAAGGCAAGTTATGTTTCACGTCTTAGTTTGTGAGTAGCCAAACGTAGATTAAGAAGTTTGTTAAATTTTAGTTAGTTTTTTATTTTTCTTTATCGATACTTGACTACTAAAGGATACATGTGTTTTACGATCATGTACTGTGAAAAAAAAGAAATCTGGAGAGCAAATCAAGCGGATTAATCTTTCATTTGTGCATCTGCAAAAAACGCCTAGAGAACCAGAAGTGAATAAGGAAGATGACAGAAAAGACGTACCTGTATCTTTAAAACATTCTTGTGTGGAGAAGCATGAGGACATGTGGGTCAAACAAGGCAAATTAGACTGGAAAAATAATTCCAAATTTATCACAAAGAGGTCAAATCAGAAAATCAGTAAAATCCATGAAAAATGCAAAATTATTTTTCATCGTAAGGTGGAGTCACTACATGACAACTCGGAACTACATGGTGACATAAAGGAACTACCTCCCAGTGTGACAGATAATATATTTGATTGTGAGGAAAAAGATGCACCTGGAGCCTTTGTCTCTGTAGGATCCCAGGCATTCTCTGAACACAAAGAGCCCAGTCTTGAAAATGTTTTTCCGTCTTATTCCATGTCTGAGTCAAAAGAGTATGGTTGCCAGTCATCTTCAAAACTTTATTTAAATGAAAATAAGTTATGAACATGACAAACCAGGCACTGAACATGTTTTTAACAAAAATGAGGAGAGTTTTTATAATAGAGAAAATGAAATAAGGAACCAAGTTCCATTTACAGTGAATGAAGACCAAGAACTTGATACAAAAAGAATACAAAAAAGGAACCAAAATACTCACTGGAAATCAGACATTGGACGTGCTCCTCAGGTAAGTGACCCAAAAAGCCTTTTTGGTTTGTGGCTTGCCCGCTCCAGTGAGATGAAACACATGATTCAAATAAAAAGTCACGATATGTCTGCTGTTTCAAATACTTACAAGAAAACCAAACCAATGCAAGACCAGCTCCAGAAGCCATTGCTTGCAGATAACTGTGGTGCTGATAACTCTAAAATCATGGACCCTGAATTAGGAAACGTGAGTTCTTCTCCATCAAATGGTAACAGAACATCCAAAGTATATCTAAAAGAGTTACACCAAGATATGCCAAAGGTTTAGCAATGAGGTAGGCATGTTACAAGTAGAATTCCTGGCTTTGGAAAAAGGAAATTCAGCTTCAAAAAGAGGTAGAGGTTCCTTTGCTGCTACTCTGTTTTTTTCCTCCTTATCAATAATCTCTACCATTCTGATCCATATTTGATCTGATTTTCCACTTACAAAAATAGCCTATATATAAAACGGGGTCATCTAAATATGTAATTGTGTAGAAACAGACTATTTCTGCCATCTAAATAACAGGAACTCAGGGAAGTATTTTCCTGGGTTTTGTTCCTTAATCGACCTAAGTCTGTGCCGGTCTTTGGTATGAAGTGGGAAAGTAAATTCAGCTGTGTGCCACGTGACCTTCTGAGCCGGAATAAACACGAGTGAAATAGCTTAGGAAATATAATAAGCTCAAGGGTTTTGTTTTTTTTGTTTTAATCTATTGGCTTAAATGTAAGTTGCACATCCATAGAATGGGAAGGAAACAGTGACTGAGAGAAGGGATATAAGCACACGCTCTCACTAAGCTGATCCGTGTATTGTGTGTTAGTGAGTGCAGGCTTCTCTGTTTTACTGATCTCTGGACACTTAGAATTCCATCATGGCCACTTTGAGATATTCTTAAGGATACACGTGCTTGCACATAGTCTTGAATCACCACTTCGGGGTGTTTCTGTTGAGACATACACTTACATTATATTATTTAATAAAACGTAGTAAGTTTTGACATGTATGATTCTATCATATAGGTAGTATGAACCCTCAGCAAAAGAAATTCAGTATTTATCTTCAAAGGAGAAAACTTGAGTTTTGAGATGCACTGAATGATTTTAGTTCTAGTAATAGATTTTTAAAATGTGTGTGTTCTTTTGTGTGAGGTGCAAAGAATGTTAAAGATGGAAATCTGAAGTTTTCTCCTTTAATAGAAGAAGGAGATGAGCCCTGCCCCCAACTTTGCCAAAGTCACACTTTTAACTTACCGATCAATTTGATGAATTTATTTGGTAGCTTATTAGATTCAGTGTTACAGAATTGTATCATCTCTTTTGACAAGGTAAAATGCTGGGGAATACTGCTTTAGGGAATTTGGACAAATCATTTAACCTTTCTTGGTTGTGTTCCCGTTTTCAGTAAACAGTGGGGCTAAGGTAGATCACTCGTTACTCCTATGCCGTCTAGCTATAAAATGGCCATGGTTATTGAATGTGAAATTGGGAAGCATTATTCCTTCTGCAGAATTCCACATAACTGGCAGTTCATCAGTTTCACTCTGCTCCTTTCGGTAAACTTGTGTTCATATGTTTTATTAAACACCACTTTTTTGATACTCCAGGATCCAAATGAAACAAGAATTATAAAAAGTAGTGGGGAAAGGATAGCTTTAGCACAGCAAGAAGAATGTTTCCTTTCTGTTACTGAAGCACCAAGGTGTGACATCTTCTAAATCTGGCTGTTTAATACAAAGTCTAGGTGGTAAAGACAGAAGAGGACAAATTTTATGCCTTTGTCTTTCTATTTCTCTGTCTCTGCCATTCACATGGGGAAGAGTGGATGTAAGAGCACAGCATTCAGAAAGTCCTTTTTGAAATTTTGGAAATTCTGTTTCTTTTCCACAAACAGAAAGAAGCAGAATTTACAAACATTCCAATGTCTTGAAATGATAAAAATTAAAATAAGCACAAAAATATTTTAATCAATTGAAATCAGGGCAAACTCTGAGTCAAATGATAAAGTGAATGATAACAAAGTCTTTATAATGAATAAAGTAATAATTACCCTTTTTATCAAACTTTCCCTGAAGGTTGAAGTAGAAGAGAACAGAAGCAAAAGTGGTGAACTGAAAGGATCAGAAACCGTATGTGATGGCAGTTATCATGAAGGATTAACTCAGCAGAGGAAGAGGGGAAAAACTGATGAACAGCAGTTTCCTGCTCTGCAGAAAGGAGATTCTGATAGGTAAGCCTGTATCAGTGTTCAGCAGTAGGTAATTATTATTTTCCTAGAAATTGTTCAGAATTTCTTCCCAGACTCATCTCTCTACTTGCTTCCATATATTTTATACTCTTCCTTCCAGGTTCCTAGGACATACCTAAATGCCATGTGCCTAATCTTTGTGCTCACATTCTAATCTCTTAAGTAGAATAATTTCCTCCTGTCTCTTTTGCTCATGACTTCCTGTTTATTTCCCCTCTTCTGTAAAGCCTTCCTTATGCTCACTTTGCTTTCGTATGTCAGCTCTTGCGTATCACATTGTATCATAATTGTGTATCTGTCTTTGAAGCAAGAATTTGTGTTTCCTTGCATATGGTTGGCCCTTGTTAACCATTTTGTGAATTAATAAATGATTGAAGATGGGTAAGAGTTGGAATTTTACAAAAATTGGGGTTTTTTTTAATCAGTAGAATTATTTTTTAAAAATTGGCTTTTTTATGGATTGTTTTAAAGTAGCTGTCCTGGCTTGCATATGAAGGGAGTAAAGAAGAATGAAAGTGGAAAACGGACATTAAAAGCATCTGTGACTTCACGTGTATTTGCAAAGACCACCTCACTGGCTGGTGGTCTCCTACACGTGAATGACAACAGCGGTTTAAGTGAAGGAGATCAAGGTTGTGGCAGGTAAAACCTACAAATTCTTTATTTCTAGCTGAAGACGTATTAGCAGTGATTACCTTCTCTGGAAATAGAACAGCAGCATATAGTGCAAAGGCCAAGGCAAGAGAATTCTCAACTGTGTTGGAGGAACACTGCCGAAAGGCTAAGATGAGGACAAGTGCCTTTGACCTTAAGTAGTTTCAATAATATGTCCCCATGGAAGCCGGGCTGCAGTGAATCAGTGTGAACAGCCCCTTAGAGGACATTCCCTGGGAAGGCAGGAGAGGACTGGGTGATAACTGATGGGAAACGTGGGGCTCGTGGGGGTTCCCTTTCTTTTTTTAATGATGAGATGATTGTTTGTAGAGGATGTCTCTATGCTGTTGGATGCGATTCCATAGATGTGTTTTTCAATTTAACTTTGGATTTCTGATATTAGATAGTGTATTGATGGTACTATATTATCTTTAAAATATTGTAGTAAACTATTCATGTATGGTATTGTTGTAAGGGCTTATTCATTAGTTCTGAAGCGTAATATTCTTACACAATTGAATATGCAGATAATGACTTTAAAGTTACACCATTGTCCATAGATTTTTTAAAAATTGTATACTCAGAATAACTATACAAACACTTAGGCCATACTGAATAGGGTTTAATCATTCCTTGATGATTCTAGATTTTATAATGTCCTTGACAGTATCATCACGAGTGGCTATGGTTTTGTATGCTATTGCAAAATACCAGATTATATTATCTTAATATTTGTTTAGATTTTAGGAAGAAGGGGAAGATTTTGTTTACATACAATAGAATAATAAACTATTAACAATCTATCACAGGTGATTACTTTTGGATTACTAAGTTCTAAATTAAAAAAGCCATTATGCTCCATAAGGACCTGTGAAATGCATGAACACAACAGCTGAATGGATAATGAATGCCCGCTGATTAATGTCTTTAGCGAAAGCAAATCTTTATTAAAAGTAGATTTCCAGTATTGCCTAGGTCTAAAGTCTTTTTAAAAAATAGGTGTTAAGATTCAGAAATTATTATTATTTTAACTTTTTTTATTGAGTCATAGTCGTTTTGCAATGTTGTGTCAAGTTCCAGTGTAGAGCACAATTTTTCAGTTATACATGAACATACATATATTCATTGTCATATTTTTTTGCTGTGAGCTACCGTAAGATCTTACATATATTTCCCTGTGCTGTAGAGTATAATCTTGTTTATCTATTCTACATTTTGAAATCTCAGTCTGTCCCTTCCCACCCTCCTCCCCCTTGGCAACCACAAGTTTGTATTCTATGTCTGTAAGTCTGTTTCTGTTTTGTGTTTATGCTTTGTTTTTTTGTTTTCGTTTTTGTTTTTGTTTTTGTTTTTTAGATTCCACATATGAGTGATCTCATAAGGTTTTTTCTTTCTCTTTGTGGCTTACTTCACTTAGAATGACATTCTCCAGGAGCATCCATGTTGCTGCAAATGGCGTTATGTTGTCGGTTTTTATGGCTGAATAGTATTCCATTGTATAAATACACCTACCACCTCTTCTTTATCCAGTCATCTGTCGATGGACATTTAGGCTGTTTCCATGTCTTGGCTATTGTAAATAGTGCTGCTATGAACATTGGGGTGCAGGTGTCATTTTGAAGTAGAGTTCCTTCTGGACATATGCCCCAGAAATTATTACATATAATTATACCTAGACATAGAATAATAATAGAGATTCATTTACTACATTAGTTAAAAATACTTAAAAATAAATATTAATTTCTTAGCGTAGTGTGAAATGCAAGTATTGAAGCCAGATTGCCTGGGTTGGAATTCTGGGCAGGCATAGGGGCTTCGACAAATGACTTAGACTTTCTGTGCCTCATTTTCTTCCTGGGTAAAGTACCTGATGTATTACCTACCTCCCAGGATTGTTGTGAGGATTAAAATGTCTTTAAGACATGTAAAGTGCTGATAATAATGCACAGCAGTTGCACACTAAGTTTTCAAAAAAGCTGATGTCATGGTTATTAGAAAAGGGTTTCTTTCATATAAGGACTTAAGTAATACTTTCCAAATACTTTTATTGCCATAAAAGCCAGTTTTTATTGCAAAAGACAACAACAAGAAAATCCTGGTATATTTTTTCCTTTCAAATAATACAAGTAATTTTATGTTCTTCCTTTTCCTTTCCTTGTCTGCTTGATTTAAATTTAATACTTTGTTAATAATATAATTGATATGCTTTCTTTGTCCTTTAATGTTACTGTTTCCATTTTTTGTTTAATCCCTTTTATTGAAAATTTAATTATCAATGCAAAGATGTTATATAAAAAATAATAGATTTACATACATCTTGCATTTTCAATATTTAGTATTTGGCTTTAATGAATTGCTTGTTTCTTTTTTCAGGTCTTCAAAGAAAACGTCTACTAAAAAAGACAAGGTATAGTAAAATATTAATCATAAAAATATTTTCCTGTAGTAAGAAAAATTTATAAAAGATAGAGTGGGAAAACAGAAAATCCTCCTTTGTTGTAGAGACGTTTACTTAAAAATAATATAGAAACATGATTGACAAAGTTAGCCTTTTGACAAAAATCAGTTCTTTGGAGAAGTGTGTTTTTTTTTTTTTTTTGCTCTCATAAAGATGGATATTTATCACCTCTGTACACTGAGCATATTTTATAACTATGTTGGAGACAGTGTGAAATAGCATTATTTATTTGTAGGTCAAAGAGCAGCTTAATTCTGTTGATGACCTCGGTGACTCATCTCTGGCACCGGAAACAGCTTCTGAGGATCGCAAGTCGCTTTACCCTAACTGTAAGAATACCCTGAGGCTAATCGAACAACTTGGCCCGGAGAGGAAAGGTAGGACCCCCGTATGACTACACAGCCTTTTTAAGTTATCTGGCGGTAACCTGTGCACACCTAGTACTGCCCCAGGGAGCACGGATATGTTACAGTCTGCTGCGTCTCAGAAACCTGCTTTGTGTTAAAGCAGAATCAGACGTGTGTGCTGCCAGCCAGGAGCTGTGGCTGTTCCCTCTCCCTGTGCTTTCTGTTGACTCTGCTGCTCCTACGCCTTCACCCAAGGTCAGGGTATCACTACTTCCCTCCTAGAACGCTGAAATCACCTCAGGAATTTCTTCTCCACTGTTCCACCTCCTGGAACCTTGGTCTACACCGCAACCGTGATTACTAGACAGTTTTTAAAATTCAGGTCTTTGTTACCTCCTTGCCTAAAATCCAGCTCCTGCTTCTCGTAGCTCCATAGTTAAAGGCCACAGTCCTCTGGCTTCATCTTGTTTCCTTTTATTACCCTTCTTTCCACATGAATTTTAGAATTGGCTTGTCAATGTAAAAAAAAAGTCTGCTAGTGTCCTGGAAATGAGATGTAGATTATGTTGAATCTGTAGATTAATTTGGGGAGAATTGACTTCTTAACAGTATGGAATTTTTAACCCCAAACAAAGTTTATTTCTCCATTTATATAGGTCTTCCTTGATTTTCTCAGTAATATTTTAGAGTTTTTAGTGTCTGGATCTTTCTGTCTTTTATGAGTTTACCTGTATTTCTTACTTTTCAGTGCGGTTATAAGTAGTATGTTTTTACTTATTTGTTTTAAAATAATATATTTTAAATTTTAGTTTCTGATGATAGAAATACAGCTGATTTCTGTGTGCTGACTCTCTGCCCTCCAACCTGGCTGAACACATTGATTAGTTCTAGTAGCCTTTTTATGGATTCTCTCAGATTTTCCACGTAACCAAAGGTGGTCAAGCTTTTTCTTCTTTAAACAACTGTGTTACTAAGGATAGTTCACATTTAAGACTTGCAGCCAATAAATACATTCTCTGTCACAGCTAATCAGCTCTGTCACTGTTGCAACAAGAGTAGCCATAGACAGTACACAAGTTAATGGACGTGGCTCTATTTCAGTAAAAGTTTATTTACCAAAGCAAGCAACTCGGACCACAGGTTGGAGTTAGCTGACTCGCACCATGTGATCATATTCCCTGCTGATTAGCAGACAGTTTTACCTCTTCATTTCCCATCCAGATGCCTTTTGGTTCTTTATTTTGTCTGATTGCACTGGCTCTAGTACAGTGCTGAATAGAAGAAGAGAAGCCACTCCTGTCTGGTTCCTCACCTTCTGGGAAAAGCATTCCGTTTTTCACCGTTGCATATGGTGTCAGCTGTAGGCTTAGCACAGATCTTTGTCATAGTGAAGACGTTCCCTTGGTTCCTAGTTTGCTGGAAGTTTTTATCAGTAATAGATGTTGAGGTTTGGCAAGTGCTTCTTTTTATCCACTGACATGATCATATGGTTTCTTTTTTAGTTTGTTAATATGATGAATAACATTGATTTTTACGTGTTAAAACAGCCCTGCATTCTTGGGATACACCCAACTTGGTCACGATGAATTATCCTCTATTGTTGGATTTTTTTCGCTAATGTTTTGTTTAGAATTTTTACCTCCATTTTCATGACATCAGTTTTCTTTCTTGTAATATCTTTGTCTGGTTTTGGATTCAGGGTAAGGATAATGCCAGTTTTATAGAATGAGGACATATTTCTTCCTCTTCATTTTTTGAGGAAAATTTGTGTAGAATTGGTATTAAATTTTCCTAAAACATTTGTTAGAATTCACCAGTGTAACCATTGGGACTGGAATTGTCTTTGTCGTAAGGTATTTAAGTAGGACTTTTGTTCTGGTTTTTAAGATACAGGGCTTTTTAGCTTATTTGTTCTTTCTTAATTGAGCTTTTGCAATTTCTCCCTTTCAAGGAATTTTACCCACTTCCTCTGAATTGTCAAAGTTATTTGCATAATGTTCATAATATTACTTTGTCATTCTTTTAATATCTGCAGAGCTTAGAAGAATGTCTTCCATGTTATAGATGCTCAATATCCATTTGTTCAATGTAGAGATGAATGAATGTGAAAATGCATAGTCCTTTATACACAAAAATTATTCATTAAGTTTGTTTCTATTTTTGTCTTCTTCCTAATGCAGATTCTGATAGGTTATTGAAAATTCAGGATCCAGTTCATTCATTCAGATCAACAGAACTTAAAGAATCTGACTGTGCACTACTTAGAGGAAAACTTA